AAAACAAGAATAGAAAGTTTCTCAGCTACCACACAACCAGGCCTTACCCTGTTGTGAAAGAGCGGCAGCTGTATCCACACTGACTCCTCTTTTCCCCAGCAGCGCCATCTATAAGGGGAGCGATGGCCCTGCCCAGTCCAGTCTGCCCAATTCTTCCAAGCCATTTTTGCACACAAACTTTATCTCCATGTATTGCAACTAGTTCTATCATTCCTCGGTCCACGTTTCAATCTGGCTTCTACTGAGCATCTGGGGTGCCCAGTAAGATCATCATCTACTCTTCCTGACACAACCAACAATTAACCTGCTGGGTGGTTTGCTAGAGCCACCACAACGATGATTAATATTCTTATTCAGGGAGAAGAGGGTCCAAAAGGCAATTTCTAGACCTTCTTCCTTTTCAAATACTTATTTACTTTCAGTGAGTAGAAATTGTGTTTGTCATGTACAACATGCTGTTTTGATATATATCTACATTGAGGAATGGTTAAATCAAACTCTTTAACACACACTTATCTTCTTTTGTGGTGAGAACACTGAAAATCTACTCTCTGAGCCATTTTTAAACATGCAATTATTTCTCCTAACTGAAATTTGAGGGTTTTTTTAACAATTACCTTTATTGGTACATTTTTATATATATAATGATCACATTCATCATAGGGAATTAAAACTAAAATTTTGTATCCTTCTATCAACATCCCCCAAATCACTTTACCCTCTACCCTCCAGAAGCCATAATTTTCCTCTCTATTCTACAAGCCCAGTTTTTGTGCTTTCTCCATTTACAAGTGCAATCATGTGGCATTAGCTCCCTGAGCCTGGTTACTATCACCTAACAAAATATTTTCCATGTTCATCTGTGTTGTCAAAAATGACAAAATTTCCTCCCTTTAGAAGACTAAATAATACCCCATTGTGTACATGTACCATGTTTTCTTTGGTTTTTTAATTTATTTTATTTATTGTAGCATTGAGAATTTGAACCCAGGGTCTCTCACATGCCAGGCAAGAGCTCTCCTACTGAGCTAGCTACATGCCCAGCTCTGTACCACATTTGCTTCATCCATTCACCCATCAGTAAACATTTAGGTTGATTCCATATCCTGGTTCTTGTGAATAATATTGAATCAACATAGCAGGGCAGATGCCCCTTTGACATGCTTCTTTCATATCTCCAAATATATACCCACCACCAGGACTGCTATATCATATAGTAGTTCCATTTTTAATAAGTGGTTAAGTCTTCAGCAAAAGTACATTCCTTAATAAACTTTCTGACATGTGCAAATAACTTGTAACTATTGCCTTCTTTATTATAATTGATAAACTGTATCATTTCCCTTTCCAGTTCTTACCTAGTGCTTTGTGACATAATTCTCATAACCAATTATTCATCTACATATTCATTTTTCCAAACCAAAAGGCAACGATTAACTTAGCCCAGATATTGTGATTTCTTAAGCACCAAGGAAATATTCAGTCTCCCTTATGTAACTAGGAACCACTGATGCTAGGCCAATATACTACACAGCGAGAAACTACTTAGTTTCTTGTACCTAGTTGGACAATCTAGAGTAGAGATTACAGCACACTGTTGTGAACCAAGGTGATGACTGTGTGGATCAGAAAAAACTCTATGCTTCAAACTGTATTTGGAGGTAGATCTGGCCATTTGGCAACTGGATAGAGGAAGTGAAGGAAATAAAAAGATCAAAGATGACAGTCAGGTTTCTGACCTGGAAGTCAAAATTTAGAGGAAACCAGAAGTGGGGAGACGCTAGGTTCCATTGGGGGCCTGCACGATTGGAGGCTTCTGAAAGGCAATGACTGCGGGAATCAGGATCCAAAAGACAAAATGGAAGGGAAAGGCACACAGCCCTGCCAGGAGCTGGAATCACTGAGGGAGAGGGCAGAGGCAGGAAATCAGAGGGCTGAGATGGAACCGAGAAGCAAACACATTTAACGGGTAAATACGGGAATCCCAGAAAGCAGTTAAAGAACAAATGGCAGAACGTGAAAGGGAAAGCTGGGACTAAGTGGATTCACCCACAGCAAGAGACTAAAAGCTGTGAAGGAGCAGCAGGGAGCGCACTGCTGAAGTGGCAGAGGCAGGTACTGACGCAAACGGCTTCCCGGAAAGCAAGCGAGCAGCTGAACACAGTGAGGAAGAACTAGAGGGGCTGAGCTGGGGCTCCGCACTCGTGCGCGCGCGTAAGTACTGTCAGGGACAACAGCCGGGGAGGGATAACCGGCAGGAAGGTCCAGGCAAAGCAGGAAAGGGTGACGGGGACACAGGCCCCCGAGGAGAGCACAGAGCACTCGGCACATGGAAATCAGAGGGGCTTAAACTTTTCTTTCACTTCTTCATGCTGTCTACAATCTTCACTCCAACAAAACACTGAAAACTAAAAATACTATCTTTTCAAGAATACAAAAGACTCACACACACACACACACACACACACACACACACACACACACACATTCAATCAGCAAGAAATTCCTCACTTTTTAAACTTCACATTTCAAAGGAGGATTCAATAGTATCTCTGTCCCTTGAGCTGAAACAAAATGCAGAAAGCAAATCTAGGTAAATGATTTGGAAGGTAGAGAATCAGAATTGGGCTTAACATGAGGGGCTCGGCGTGAGGGGGCTGCCTGTAAAAGTGTTGTTGTTCTCATCCCAAGCACATTTACAGAGGGATTAGGTGACCTAATGTCAGGAGAAACCTGGATCATTTCCAGCTCTACCACAAACTTTGAACTTTCCAACCCTTGCCACGTCTGCAATAGAATAACCTACGTTCAGGTTGGCAGATCTCCGCATCCACTCAAAAACTACCGAGACACTGTCACAACGAAGAACCATGGTGTGGTAGCTCCCACAAAGAGCTGTGGCTCTCGCTTCCACTCCCAGACCGGCGAGCTGGTGACAGCAGGACCTGGGGAGTGGATGGACCACAGCAAAGCCCACAACAGGAAGTCACAGGAGGAACGTGTGCAGTCGATGACGTCAGAAAGGGAAACGATGATTCTATAAAACTCAACACCATGTGATTTTTATAAGATGCTAAAAACTAAAGTGAGATACAATAATAAAGCAAGCAAAAAGTTTGGTCAATTGCCTGAGCTTGGGGCTAGTACTGGTTTTACTTAGTATTTTCATAAGTAAACTGAACATTTTCCTAAGAAATTAAGATTTTAAAGGAAACAAGTATATGTCTGTGTGGATGAAAACAAAGTGCTTTGTGAAGGCTTTGTGGGTGGACAAATAAAAACAAATATGTTTAAAAGTAAGAACAGACATGTAGAAAACATTTAAATATTCAGGTGGTACATAATATATTTTCATGATAATGTGCATAGTAATACAGGGTGGAAAAGGTCTGAGAACACTATAAAATAGCCAGTTAAGATGCTAGCTAAAGGAGTGCTGCAAATAAAAATAGTAGATCTCATCAATAGAAATATTTAAACTGCAAGAGAAAGTATTCCACCTTCTAAAAGAATTTTATAATATGCATGTAACTAGAGTATTAAATATAGTTCTTATCCCTGTACTTCAGGAAAGCTTTAATAGGGTAGAAATCAATAGCTATGCATGTTTATATAAACGTATGTCACACATAATTATTGGCATTATTTTTATAGGTGAATAAAATTCCATCATGTAGTCAGGCATGGTGGTGCATGCCTATAATCCCAGCACTTGAGAGGCTGAGGCAGGAAGATCTCTGTGAGTTTGAGGCCAGCCTGGGCTCCATAGTGAGTTGAAGGCCAGCCTGAACTACACAAGATGCTACCTCAAAAATAGATAGATGGATGGATAGATAGATTGATAGATAAATAGATCGATAGATAGATAATAAAAATCTATTATGTAAAGAAAAAAAGCACAAAATTTTAAGGTTGTAAAAGTAAAAACTTGGAGAATCTATTACTGGCCAGTTTATAACAAAATAAAGTGTATTTGCTGAATGACTCCTCTATGCTTTCTGTGTTCTAAAAAACATCCTAATTAGTTTAACCTCTGCAAAATCTCTTCCAACTGGTATTATTAGTGTCCCAGTGTGATACAGGGCAGTTCGGTGATCTGCTCCACATCATGCAACTAGTAAATAGTAGATCCAAGGTTGAAACACAGACCGTCTGGCTTCTGAGTGTGTTCACTTAATCACTGCATGTGAAACACAAAGCTAGCTACCTTTTTCTTAAAGAACCACTTCAATGGAAACTAGGTAGGTTTGAGATAAATAAAAATAAGTACAAAATGTACTAAAAACCTGGAAAACAGAAATCAAAACTTCTGAATCCTAAGAAACAAAACGCACTGAAAACAAAAATAGAATCAGAGAGTCTCTCTGAGTCCCAGAGGGTGGCATAAAACAGGGAAATGAGCAGAGGTTGGGTGAGTCATCTCTGAAAGTGGGTCAGAGCCTCCCACCAGCTGCCCCTAGTGAAAAAAGCACAGTAGCAGACCCCTCTGCAGGTCCAGATCGTGCACAATATGGAAATGCCTAACCTTGGTACCTGCTTCTGTGAGGAGTACACACATCTACAGAGAAGAGGCCCCTTCTCCCTAACTCAGTATCACCTGGCTCAGTACCACACACATGGTGGTACATGGATTTTAATTACTATGATCCCATTTCACAGCTTAACACACTATTAGAGCCTGCTTAGCGGAATAAAAATGTGTTTTTGACCTATTTTCTGCTCACTGCTGCTAAGAATCTGGCTGAATGTATGACTTTAGCATGCTGTTTTGAAGAAGGAATCTCAGTAAAGCATTCCTTAGAGAAGCCCCCAACCTGAACTGAATAACTGTTTCTTTTACCAATGCTTCTGACACAGAATTTGTCTGTTAGGAGCTGAGGGGTGTAATCATCCTAAGGGACTTTGTTCACACAATCCGCCCTCCACAGTCCATGGGGGTTTTGTTTAGCTGCTGTGTTTTGTGGTTCACTTCTTGCTCCTGTTGCTCAGGTTTCCCAAGCATCTCATGTGGAGTACAGTCACCATCCTCTTCCAGACATTAGTTATCTGGAAAGGGAATGTCATACACCATCTCTCTCCTTCTCCCAGTACCTTCTCCCCCTGAGATTATAAGTCTATACAAGAGACCACAAAGGTTGTTACTCCATGGAGACTTGGATCCAGGGGCCTGCCTGGGCTTGTCTTTATTACATCTATTATCAGTTATTGAGAGCTTTTTCCAAAAGATAGCATCCCTTGCTGTGAAAATTGTGTACTTTAAAATCATGCCATTGGTTTTTTCTATTCTCCTAAGCATGAACACTTAATTGGTTGAGGCTGGTCATAGGAAAAGGGTGGCTCTTGAGACTTTTCACGGAAGCCAGGTCACCTGCAACCCTGGGCCAGAATACAGTTCTGGGAGAAAACACATTTCTTCCATAGACTCAGGAGCGACAAATAAAACTGAATCCAGGGAGAAGTCTAGTAGTGGAAATCAAAATCTCTAAACACTAATAATCACACTAATAGCATTCACTTTTTTTCTCTGAGCCATCATTTGTGCTAAAATTTAATCTACTTTTCAGATAAAAGTGTTCTCATTCACAGATGACAATGACATGATATTACAGAACAAACCACACCTGGTCCTCAATGAGTCCCTTCTTCACACACCCTTGCTCAGCTTCCATGTGGAAAATGTATGCATTTCTCATGTCCATCCCAAAGCCCACTGCTTCTATTTATTGTATATAGCAGTGATCCTACTTCTCCTTAGATTTTACCTATTTCATCCATGAGATGGATGGGATGGAGATCAGGCCCATAGGTCACTAATGCTTTGACTGACCGCTGCACCTCACATACAATAGGTTTGCCTCTCGCATTGTTAACTTCATCTAAAGAAAATCCATCTCCTCCCAGTTTTAACTACAGCTGGCCTCCAAGCCCACACTTAGTCTTTCAGAATAGTCTGTTAGAAATACAAGAGTAGATGTCGTATACATGCACATTAAAAACTGAAGAGAAATGCCACATGTTGACAACTGATTATTTTAATGCATTCCAAACCCAATGAGTGGCTATTAGAATGTAATATCCTGCCTATTTCACATATAATCTGGAAACAGGTTTTCACCATTAGTCACTTAGCCTTGGCACCTTTTTATTAGAATGAGACAAGAGCTTTGAGGAAAGCAAAGATTCTGAAACTCAGTGCCTGATGAAGTTACTGAAGTGATTATTCAAACTCAGTAAGCTCTGCTAGATGAAAAGTCTTCACTGATTAGTTCTGTCATGTTGATAAACTCACTGTACAGCAAAGAGGAGAGGTGCTTCACAAACTTCTCCAAAGCAGACACATAAAAAGTATAATCATGCTTCCCTTTTTCCTACCAGTACCCAAATACTCCATATAGAATAATAAAAAGCTTTGCTGTCAGTATTTTAGTAAACAATATTTTAATGATTAGTTTCATACCTCCTGCAGAGGGTCCTGTTCTCCATCATTCATCCCAATACTTTTTTATTTAGGTCAGCTTTGAAAAGCACAACACTGCCAAGCACTGCTCGCAGCATGTATTTATATGTACGCCTCCACAAAGACATCAGGTGACGAATTCCAGCAAGCCTTGTTCCAGGGGGAGCTAGCAGGTAATAAAAGATGAACATCAGACTCTGATGTGTCATGCCCACAGCAGTGTGCTAGAAATGCTCTAGAAGAATCGAATAACAAATGCTCATTTATGCCTGACTCCCTGCAAATAAAGGGCATACAAAGCTGAAAATTGTGCAGACTGACTTTTTCCTCCAACATACCAAATTTTTGTGATGTAACAATTGTGTTCTGGAATGAAATCTATTGTTACACTTAGATGATGAAACATTTATTAGACAACTATGCTATCAAAGCCCACAGACAAACATAAAAGTGGAAAACTAGCTACAGTTGTAAGTGACCCAGATTTTTACCAATGGCAAAGATCCATTCATTTATAATGCCCATTTTCATTTCCTTTTCTGGATCCCTCTGGCTACCAAATTAATTCTGTCCCTCTGTTCTAGAACTGTAGCGATTTTTCTTTAGCCTTTTTAATTTTCCAAATGTCAGTTAGTAGCAAAGCCCAGCCCAGCCCAGCCCAGCTGTCCATGATGAACTTGGGATCCTCTGCCAGTGGCCCTGGGGTTCTAGAAACAAGGCTAACTTGGTCAAGTCCAGGCAGCATTCTCTTCGCTGGTAAAGCGAGTTTGGGCTTCTTCTCCTACTGCCTCCACGTGCAGCTTGAGGCATGTGGGAGAGGATAGGAGTTTGTTTTCAACCAAACCAAATGCCCTGTGAGGGTTTTCCATGTGAGAGTATCCAGTCTCCGACTGGTCTCTGGGCCAGAAGAAGCCCAGGCCCACACTAGAGGCAGCCAGCGAGGTCTATTCCTGGCTCTGTTTCCTCAGAACAGTGATCAAAGCTGTTTCCCTCGCATTGGTTGTTTCTATCCCTGGTTCTAATGCATCTGCTCAGAGCTACTCATCTACATCCAGATTTGGGATTTAGACCTAACCTCACTCGCAGCTACACCCTCAAGCTGACTGTTGTGGACTCTTAGATTTCCAGAAGGAAGAGCCCACGTCTTGCATCTTCGTGTCTGCCTTGCTCTTGCTCCTTCTCTGGCTCTCAGGTGGGGTCACAGTGTCTTACGCCAGGTCTTGCCTGGGGTTTGTGCCAATCTTCCTCAGAGCGATCCAAAAAGGGTGCCTTGTTCTGGGGAGGAAGGTGAATGTTAGGTGAAAGATCAGAAATGCTTCTCTATATCAGAGAAAGAACTCTTCAAACTGGGTTCTATATGAGGATGTGTTAGGAACAAAATCCTATCTTTGTAATATTACCTCAAATTTTATTACCGTCAATATGAATCTTATTTTATTTCTTTTCCTTTCTTATTTTTATAATCTTATCTTCTTGTCATGAATCCATGAGGTTTTTTATTCTATCCTTCCCTAGGCTCTTGATTTAAATATACTAATACCACTTAGGTGCATTTTTGGTTTTTTTTTGTTTGTTTTTTTTTTGTTTTGTTTTCTTAAAAAGGATACTACTTTAAACAAATCTGCATATAGAATTTGAAGG